TTTCAAGCTGTCATATATATAAGCCTGAAAATCATCTACGAACAGAAATCAGATTCTGGATAGACAGTGCCAGTCAAACTTCTTTAAAAAGAGAGAATAAGCTACAGAAAATGAAGACCTGGTAGCTATAGCCTATGAAGATAGGATATGGTTCATTAAGATTTTAACTATATTTTATCTTGGTATGAATTTCCAAAATTATCTCGACATGAATCCTTCCTTACTAAGTGTGAGTACGTGGCAAATGCAGTTGAAAATAAATCATATCTTGTATGATAAACCTCTATCAGTTTCAAGGGGTTTTATTTATAGATAAAGTACATTTTTTAAATCGTAAAATGTATATTGGGAACACATCCAAAAGTTTATAAAAAGTAGCTTTAATGCTAAAATTGAAGACAATTTGACAAAAGCCTAAAATGTACCATCGAGGCTAGTTTTTATTTTCCTAATAGCTGTAAATAAGGCTTAACCAAAATGTATTTCAGGAAGGTTGTGAAAGAAATATTTAAATCCCTATCTAGATTTACATCCAGATACAGCATATACCATGCCATAGAGCTGTTTTGAGACAGTTAAGCCTTTTAATATACCTCCCGTAGTACTGAGGCAGTAACATATTGCTTTGCCAGTTGAATCCTTTCGGAAGTCATGATGTACGTAGAACTTGCTCTCTAAATATTTTCTCTAATTTAAAGCTGGGTTTCATGCACTGGGTTGTAATGGCTGGGGATGCGCTGTGTAAATCCCTATCTGGCATGAAAAAAATCCTTCTTGGTGCTCAGATTAGCACTGATAACTGCAGGAATCACAAGCAATAGGTTGCACAAGACCACGTCATGTTGGCTGCTACATACGAACACTAAACGCGTCTTCTAGAGATCCTTAAGGAATGAGTGAGGCTGTGGTTCCGATGCACACCTAAATAAAAATTAGCAAGTTATTTTAAACTACTTCCTCACATGCACTCACATATGTTCATACACGATATGTATTTTAAAGTGCAACACCGAGTGTAAGAAATACCAAAGTGCTGCACATTAAAACATCCTAAAAAATAATCACCAACTGTATTTTGCAATTAATCATTTATTTGTTTCCTGCAATCCCAAAAGCCCCAATCACATGGAAATTTCAGCTCCAAGGCTAGAATGCACACATTCTCCCTTGTAGCCCCAAGCAAAAGCTTGTTAGAGCTAGGCTGTGAAACCTCAGAAAGCAAAGAAAAGTTGGCCCCAAGATAACAGCCATGGTAGAGGAGAGGCACCAGGTCTGTCCCAGACAGGGCAGTGTATTTGCACAAGGGTGAGCACTTGTGGCCCCTGCTACAAATAGTTAATGTTAAGGAGTTATCAAGAATGAAACCTGTGTGTGCTCTGCATGAAGACGATGGTGTAGTAGAGCACTGACAGTCTTCTAAAGAAAGAAAAATGAAAGGAAGAAAGCAAAATGAACCTGAAGATTATAAGCAGGCAACCTAGGCAAGGTCTGCTAGCCTAAGAAAATCAACTCACCCAAGAAACTCCAATGTAAGAGAAATACTCCAGGTCAAACACAGATTTTTATTTTTATTTTTTTTTTAATCCCTGAAGTTTGTTTTTTTTACAAACAAACATGATTTTCACCCCAAACCTCTGCAGCGTCTGCTGTCACTCTCGCAGTGAAGCCTGCACCACCTTGGGCGTTAGAGCTGTCTCACTGTGCATAAGACTCACCCCTCTTCTGCTCTGGCAGAGCTGGGCAAGCTGTGTGTTATTTGCACCACGAGCGTTTTGGTTTGACAACTGGTTAAAAGTAATGCTTCTTTTTTAGCCTACGAGACTAAAATGGATAATCTTTCTAAAAAGGACATAATCTCTCATCTGTAAGACCCATTAACAGGTTTAGCTGAATTTTATCACACTAGCAGGAGCTGCTGGCTGTAGGTTCTAATAAGCAGGGTTCTTCTTCCTGTGATTATCTTCACTTGCCGGCAAAAGGGAACATTTCCACCTTCTGCCTAAAAGCATTTATACAAATAAAGAAACTCCTCTCTTACCATCTAGAAAATATTCTTTATTGTGAAACTCACCACATTTAATGACATGATTAAAATATGAGCGAGGCACAATAGATTTAAGCAAGGACTCCTGAACTAGATTATTTTAAAAGAGCGCGGAATATTTGTGCATCACTTTTTCCTACCTTTAAAAATATGAAACAGTTCTGTTAAAATTCAAGTTTACCATCCCAGTAAAAAAAAAACATTCAGGCTTTGATTCGGTTTCTTGAATAAAAGACCATGCTCTCTGGAAATACTTCAGTTTGGAAATCACATGGACAAATAGTGTTAATAACATACAAGTTTGAGAACCCTGCTACAGAAGACTACATGACAACACTCCAGAATATGGTTTCTAATTTGGGGGTATTTTTGCAGACTTGACACATAGTTCACCTTATTTCTGAGGAAATCTGTATTGCTCCAAAGTGAGGGAAGGGAGTAGGTAGAATTTTTTCTCTCCAAATTCTCCTCAGCTATCGATTGCTGTGCTATCATTGATCATAAAATGGGCGGCTCAGGGTTTTGTTTTTGGAAGTAGGCTGGAAAAACGCATTTTAGAAGTTATACATTAGGGGTCTATTAAAAAGTTAGAACATTTGATTATTGTAGAGTTAATTGAGGGGAGGGGGGAAATCAGACCACCACCAACAGTTCACTTGATCCATTATTCGCAGAAGGAAAGCAGAGGGTACGCTTTGGCAGGGAGAGCAAACAGTGGTGTCCTTCCCGAGGAGGTGAGTCCACGGGGCTGCTGGAGTGTGGTAACACAGGGGGAAAAGGGAATCTGGCCCTTTGCAAATTGATTTTCAATTTTTATTTAGGCTTCCTGCAAGGCAGTGAGGGTTCTGAAGGGATATGCTGGTTCCACTTAGGTTTAGCAAAACTATATAGGATTGTTTGGTATTCGCTTTTACCCTCATGCAGGAGAGTAGGAAAGCAGGAAAAGCAGTGAGGAACCTTTCCCTTCCTTTGCCAGAAAGTTTAAACTCCTACCAAGTTCTTTTTCAAATTGCACCTAAAGCACACAAAGGTCTCGGTAAGTAGGCGGTCTGTATAACGCTATACCAGATCCAAAAGTCTCTGTTAGACCAAACACCCTAAGATTGAGTTTAGAGAAATAATTCATAATTAAAGAATATTAAGCTATTAATAAGAGGTTAGAAAAAATGCTGAATGATGTATTTAGCATGCTCCCTGTGAGTCTTGGGCTAGAAGGACCCACAGCTAAAACGTGATGACTGGTCAGAGAAAGTCTTCTGAACCTGTATTTAGAGCACACCGTTTCCAGTCCCGCAATTTGCCTTCAACCATCATGGAAACATGAACGGTGAGGATTTTGTTATCACAAAAAAGACAAATAAGATGTTTTCTCATGCTCTGTTATCGAGGGACTGTATTAAGAAAAAAAAAGTTACAGCTAGATATAGTTAGATATGTAAGTACATTAAACCTTATGGAGAGAAGCAACACACAGGAGTATGTTTCATCTTTTCATTGAAGAAACACTTTGATAGCCATGAGCAAGTATGTGCTGCACATGTACAGACCATCTAGATATAACCCAAAAGTATAAAGGATATTTTGAATTGTCCTTTAATGTCGTTAATGGCTAAGTTATGTTTTCTGTTACCCTTCTGAAGAAGGGCTTCTTCTAAGTCTAGTTTCATTTGGTAATCTACAGTCCTTGAAAATCTTAATGTTGGAGAACAAATGGTGAATCTGCCTAGAGCCACATCCAGCGCTCATCAGCTGCACGGATTGCAGAACTGCAGTATTAGCCGTTTCACAGTCTTGACGATACTTTAAAACATCTTAACTACACATAATATTCTACCATATGAAAGCCCGCAGAAAAGGTCTGCTGCTACAAAAAGAGAAATCTATGCGGTGGAAGACGCTAGGGTTGACAAAAGGAAATGTTTCCAAAGTATCTCTAATAATGCAAAAAACCCCCAACCCCAAACACAGCAAATGATGACTGAAAATTGTTATAAATAATAAAACAGTAAAAAAGAAAATGTTGGCTAAGTACAAGTTACTGTAAAGGCAGGAAGATCAGCAGAATAACATTAGGCACCGAGATTCACTTGGTCAAGGCACAACTTCAGTTGTACCTCAGCAGATGACAAACGTAATGAAATGTTTAAATTAAGATATTTTTTCCCTTTCAAATTAGTCCTGCTGTCTCTGTTCCAGACTTCTAATTTAGCTCTACTTTCATATTCCCATTGGGCTCTGCAGTGCTTGTTCCTAGGATAGAGCAGCCTCAAACAAGAATTCTGGGTATATACTCCAGCAAGCAACTAACCCAGGTCTTTTTCAAAGGTTTCGGCAAGCTTCATTTTATTTTTTTAAAGAAACCTTTAGGCTGTAAGAGAAATCCCCAAACAGACTCAGGATTATTTCAATTTCCCTCTGTAGGCCAGAGAGTTTTGATGTATTACTGGTATTTTGGCCATTTTCACTGCCTACTCTGACACTGATGGCCAGTCAGCACCTGGCCAGTGCTTCAGATTAAGTTGTTGCCTTCTGCTCTGCTGTTCTGATAGAGACTGAAAACAAAAGAGTGAGCCCAAGAGAGATCCTTAGGGTGAAATTAAGCCCAGAAAAGGAATTGTGTGTCTGCCTAGATATTTGCATGGTAGCAAACTGTCTGGATTTTAATAGACTGCCTCTGCAAAAGTCTTTGGGGAAGAAAAAACTAACAAAAAAATACCTCTACAGAAAGATCGAGAGCTGCACACACAGAAATGCTTTCAAAACACAAGCATTTAATTTTTTTTTAAATGTTAAGTGAGATGTAAATATGTACGTTAGCAACAAAGTGCTCAAAAGCATACTGAAAACATATTCCATACACAGTTAGCAATAGAAGTCTGTACAAAAGTAATAAAGTTACACATTATAAAAAATACTCCGTGACTATAATTTAAAAGAGGGAAAAAAGACAAGGGAATTGATTTCTCAGTTCATATAATTTATTGCAGTTAGCACACAGTTTAAAAATTCACCAACACACCAATAGTACAAAACTAAACAGCATTATAAGTTATTCCCCCCTCAGGAAAATAAAACATACTATGATTGTCAAAGCTAGATGTCAGTCTAAGTTTTAGAACAAAAGAAGAATGTGAAACTAAGGAAAGGAAAAAAGCAATCACTCACGAGGACCACAAAAAAATCCAAGAGAAAGTCCATTTTCCTCAGACACTGATTGTCTTCTCTAACTTAAGAAAAGAATGTAGTTTTAAAACGTAGAAACTATTCAAGTAACTAAAGATAACGCTCCAAGGCCATTTTCACAGCTTTTTTTTGTTTTGTTTTAAATGCCATTACAGCCAAATTAACACACATTTGACCAAATATTTCCAAAACAGTCCAGCAATACACAATGGAGTTTTCCATTCAGTATCTTAAGCACAAAAATAGGCTATGTTTACAGTAGTTAAGGCGATCAAATTTTAAACAAAAGCAGAGAAAAAAAGAAAAGGGGAAAAAAAAAAAAAAGAAAGGGAAAAACAGCAAACGTTTTCCATGCTACTCCCATAGACCTTATTTGTAAGTGCAAGACAGGAAAACAAACACTGTGCAAAATGCTTTTGACCTGCGTGTTGGTCATTAAAACCACACGTCAGGCTGCAGTCTCTGCTGCTTGGATACGCATAGTCCTTCCCCTGCCCTCCCCCGGCCCCCCTGTCACTCAGGCCTGCCCAGGCCTTTCAGCCCAGGGCTTTTTCTTCTTTTTTCTTTCTTTCTTTTATTTATTTTTTTTTTAATTTTTATTTTTTTCCTTTTTTCAGTCCACAGCCTCTTTTCAACGCGGGGGGGGGGGGAAGAACGACCTATTGTGGTGGAGCGGTGCAGCAGGAATCCTACAAATGCTCATCTGGGGAAATGGATGCACCTCAGCTGGAGCTGGCGTGGGGTCTGTGCAATTAGGAGGGGCTGGGGTTAGTAAATGCACACCACACATGCAAATCTCGAAGCCTGGTTGTAAACATTCAGTATTTTTGTGGGGTTTTTTGTGGGTTTTTTTTTTCCTTGTTAAAGTAGCTAAATCGGCGACTCGCAGCTTAAGTTCTTCTCAACTTAAAAACAGTGGGAAAGTAAATTTAAATTAGATAAAATAAAAACAGTGCATTTCTCTTCTTCGTAACACTGGCATTTTCAACGGTGTCGGGTTTTTTTCCTAAGGAAATTAAATAATTTTCAACTCACTCGTTAAAGTTATACAATGCAAACAAAGACAAAAATATACTGAAAATCATGCATTTCTGTAGCGTTAATATTTACTTTTCAAGACTCAACTAAGAGCATCAACACAACCTGCCAAGTTCTTTGATACCTCCCCCCGGCCCATGTAATCAATTACAGTATACAATAACAGTAATTCACATTTTTTAAACACACAGTTCATCACTGCTGAAGCTGCAATATCCTTTTTCATCCCAAGCAAACCTTCACGTAAGACAGAGTCCCAGTGATCCCAGTGTACTCTCAGGGTTTTTGTTTTATGTTTTTGTTGCCTTTTTTTGTTTTGTCATTTTTTGTTTTTCTGTTTGTTTGTGGTTTTTTTTCTTTTTTTTTCTTTTTTTTTTTTTTTTCCAGTGGGAACTGTCAGAAATCCAGAAGTTGCCATAATAAGTTTTTAAGTCAACCGCTTGTTTAAAAATAGATAATCCAGCATTTCAGAAATTTTCCATTTGGGTCTAAAAGCATTCAGGTTTCCAACAGCTAGAAAGGACTCATGCAATTATAGAAATGTAAAGGAACTGACAAAATTGGGAGAGGATTTCTACATTCAGATTTTAAAGAGGAGAAAGATCGAGAGCTGATAAAAGAATGCAATGTTTTGGGGAGAATAAAGCCACGTCCAAATTTTCTGAATTGGAGATTCCTTAGAAGTAAAGTATCCGCTGGCTTCTATTCCAAAAAGGGGGAAAAATACGCTCTGTAATTTGTGACTTTGTCGGATTACCTCTACAGTTCATTTTTACTGGAGTGCTAAATTAGCGAAATATTCATGCTGCCTTAAAGTGCAAAAAACAAGCTAATAGCCAAACTTTCAGTTCAAGGAAACAAGATTGCTTTTAGACTGTACCACAACTATATAGATTTATATATATATTATTTATATATATAAAAATTTTATTTCCAAAGTTCTTGTGAGCTATCTTCTAAGGTCCAGTCTCTGACAGTAGGTAAGCTCAGTGCTTCGCTTTTGACAGACAATGAGTTCACCAACTCACAGTGAAACTTCCGAATGTGTCTGTAAAGGTCTCCGGACTGCGTGAACCTGCGTTCACACCATTTACAAGCATGAGGCTTCTCCCGCGTGTGAACCACTGCGTGGCGGCTCAGGTTGTGGGAGTACTGGAAGCTCTTCCCACACTGGGTGCAAGTGTAGGGCTTTTCACCTGAATGAGTCCTCTCATGACGTTTCAAGGTGTACATGCAAGAAAAAGTCTTACCACACAACGAGCAGGTCGGGACATTGACATCGGTAGCAGGCTTGCTGCGGATCCCGTCCTGCTCTCGAAAGTGCGTGCTTAAATGGATCTGCAGGATGTGGGGGCTAGGAAAGACCTTGTTGCAGAGAGGACACATGAAAATTTGGCCAGCGGGGCTAAGTATGTTTGACACGTAAGGGAGCAAGCTGCTGTCCATGTTGCCTTCCACCTGGACTCTTTCATTCTCTGGAGTTATCATTTCGTCATCGCTCGCCTTGTCCTCTCTATCTAGCTCCCTCAAGACCGAATCTTCCCTCATCGGAGCCAGGTGGGCTGGCTCGTACTGTACCCTGTTATTAGTGCTCACACTTTCTTTCACAGTGCTATGTTCCATATCATAGTCATTAGTGCCAACATCACTCTCATCACAGGAAGCCTCTTTCTCCACCTTCACCTGAACCAGGCTGCTTCTAAGCATGTCCTGTGAAGAGAAATAAGAACTGTTCAAGTTTTCAACTCCTGAAAGGCTGGACTTGACAGACAGGTCCAGCACACAGTCAACATCTGCTGAATCCCTCACGGAGGTGACAGACCTCTGGGACAAAGACTCTGTTGAGCTGCAGGGGCTGGCTACTGTTTTTCCAGCTGCTGCTGCGTGCGTCTCTGCCTCTCCGCCAGTCTGGGGAATGCCTGCTGAGTCTGAGGGCAATCTCATCCACATGTTCCCAGGCTCCGCCGCCAAGTCCCTTTTGCTAGGCAGGATGTTCAATTTTTCATCTTCTCCATCGTCTTCATCGCTGGGCAAGTCTCCTGGCATGTGGCTGCTGCCGTCAGAGAGGCTCTCCACTTTGTCTGAACAACTTGAAGCGTCTTCCTCCTTTTTTGTACTGTCTGCCTCCGTGGTTGCTTTCTCTTTCAGCTTCTTTTTGCAGACTTTGACAATGTCATACATGTGGAGATAACTGGCAGCTGCTAGCACGTCTTCAATGGGCAAGTCTTTGAACTGGAGCTTTCCTTCGTACATGAATTCAAGCAGGAGAGCGAAAGCTGGGGCTGTAACAATGTCGCTGTTCAGATGAACAATGTCCCTTTTGTCCAGCTGGTCCTTGTAAAAGAGGTGGAAATACATGCTGCATGAAGCCAGTACAGCTCTGTGCGCTCGGAACTGGGCATCTCCTACCAGAACAGTGCAATCACAAAGAAAACCCTGATGTCTCTGCTCACTCAGACACTGTAGCAAATGTCTACTGTGGTCAGGAAACTCCATACTGTCTTCATAACCTATAAGCAATGAGATTTTTAAAAATTAAACGTAGGTCGGAATCATGGAACTTATGAATCCAAGTTATTCCACTTCAAAAACCTCGCCTTTAAATTGCCAGAATTCTGGTACTGACACCATGCAAAGATTATTTAACACGCATGTACAATGGCAACTCTTTCCCTGATCAACCACTGAAGTTCGGACTCCCCTTTCGTGGTAAATAAGCGCATAGGTACAACATTTGTATTTTTTTTTAAAGTATCATGGGTGTTCATAAAATCTGTTCAATTATTATTTTTTTTAGGGAACTTCCTCCAGACTGCATCCCTAGGAGGGAGACCCCCCAAAAAATCCGTATTTTTTTTTTAACATTAAGTTTGAGAGATCACAGAGGGCAAAGAAAAGAAACAAAACATAAAATCAGATCATCAGCCTTCTTTTTGAAGTCAAATTGTAGCAAAAAGAGAAGTTTGCACGTGAGGAAATGCCAATATACCCAAATCTGAAGGTCTAACATTCACGAAGTATAAAAATTATTTATGGGTGCCAGTATATAGTAACAGCAAAATTGAGGTTTTTAGAAATTCAGTTTGCATGGTTTTCTTCTTGCAGTAAGCCCAGTTTCAGGTTTTGAGCCTTCTCCACACTGTACAATAGAACACGAACAGGTTTTGCCAACACGCAGAATTTACAACAGAAAACTAACATCCAGCGAGCCAGCTAGCACCGCTTCCCTGTGCAGAAGGACAGAAATCTCCCTCCCCTCCCACACCAGGCAGAGTCTGCAGTATCAAACTTAAAAAAAAAAGTCATTCAACATGAGCCTGTGTGCATATTTACAATCAGTATCCCAAGAACTGTCCTTACCCAAGCTTTTTTCTATTCACCTTCCTTGATGAGAAAGAAAAAAATAAACTTAAACAGGAAGCAGAGAAGTCAAAACTCAAATGGAAAGTAAAATCTCTTAAAAACCTGCCTAATCTATTCTTCTGTGATTGATAGCAATGGTCTCCCAAACCACCTTAAGCAGATCCTGGCTCTCTAGGCTGGCAGATATTATTGAAAAATCCTCTTCCCTCACAAACCAAGATGTACTAAAACTTACAACACAACCCCTACTATCTTCTGTAAAATACCATTGCTAGAGTAAAGCACGAAGATTTACAATACAATCACTTTAAGTGCCCCACAGCCAACATCAATCCTAATCCTTAAGAGGGCTAAAAATAAAGATTGGAGGGCAGCTCACAAGGTAGCTGTGATCAAATTAGGAGGCTGAAAGGACAGAGAGGGACGAAGAAGGAAGCTTATAAACATCTGATCCAGCTGACTGTGGCCATATGGCAGCTGCTGCCCAGATAAAGAGATTAAGAATAGAGGAGTGCGATTACAGCTGTCTGGCCAATTCAGGCAGCTCAAATCTACAAGTTCTAAATTAGTCGCAAATACAAAAACTCCTTCAAATAATTATTGTTATGCTGGAATAAAAGATTGCAAGTGCTACACGCGAGAGAGAAAAGAGGAAACCAGTCAAGCCATTCTCCTGGGTACAAAAGTTTCTAAACACATAAGTGATTTCTATCTTTCAGAAGCACTACAGCTGTACACTACCACGGCTCTGAGCTGCAGGATATTTAACCGTGAAGTTTAATGAAAGAGTTCCCCACAAACACATTTCAGTCAGAACAGTCCTGTTTAAAAAAAACCCCACATTTTTGTGTATTTCACTAAAACCCCCGTAAAGTCATTTAAAAGCTGCAACACAAGATCATAAAGCAGAACTCTCTTTAGGTTTGCCCCTAAATCCAGTGCAGTTTTGGTCTCAGAAATGAAGAATGAACCTGCTCTCTCCTTCTTCCAAACCAAGACATTCTCACAATATGCATTAAAGTTAATGCTAACAACATGCCCAAGAACTGATACTCTGCAACTGCAGTCCAAGCCTTTTGACTAGGTCCACTCATCTATTTAATACTCAATTTCATATATTACCCCTGTACTTGGTTAGAAAAGTAATGTGATTTTTTTCTGAAATTCAATAAACAACACACCAAAACAGAAATATGCTGTATCTAATCTATTGCTACTCCTACCTTTAGTACACATAAACCTGATTAAGTCCTTTCCTCTGAGTCTTGCTGGCTCCAGGTCTGTTAGATCGGTGGAAAAAAAGCAGACTAGGAGAGACAGATGCAAAGTGGAGATGATGTTAGAGAGGAATGAGATACCTTCTCCACACACAGATCTGCACACACTAACTCCCTGTCTGTGTGTTAGAATAAAAGGCTGAGGGATGGCAGGCTGTCAGCTGCTCTGACATCATGTTCAGATGGAAATGCTACCTCCAGCTGTGCTCCTTTTAATGCCATATGCTACTCCTCTACACTCCTGCCACCAGCTTTTTCTTAGGAGAACTTTTCTCTTCTGTTAGTATAAACAAAATACTTCAAAGTCTCTTTTTTTCAAACTTTCTAACAGGGAGGAAAAAAAAAAAAGAAAATCCTAAACATATGGGGCTCTACTGTATTTGCAGCATAGCAACACTTCTGCCTTAAGTTGGAGGACCGCTTTCTACGCTGACAGCATACCCCAGCCACGGGGTTACCGAGAAACCAAAAAAGCTCGGTTTTACTGAGCCCGGGGGTTCAACCAAAAGCACGCATTAGCCGAACCGATGTATTCCAGCCACAGCTCCCTGCCGCGCCGCCGGTCCTTTCAGTTTCTACGTTTAGACACCGTAAGTGACACCGAGCTCTCCAACTCCGGCTCAGCCACAGCAGCGAGGCGGCTAACCTGCCCGAGGCTCTATTCCCCGCCTTCAGCTCACCCCAAAATTGCTCTTCTCCGGCTCGAGTCGGGTTGTCATTTACTTGCCTGCAGTGGTGCCGGGACGCCGGCCCCAGCCCCGAGGGTTCCGGCAGCCCCGTCTCCCCCACCGCCAGCCGCCCGGGACTCGCCGTGCCCCTCGGCCTTCCCGGCCCCTCCGGTGACACTCGCGTCTACCGAGCCGTATGGTTAACCTGCCGCCGTCCCCCAGGACGCGCCGGGCCAGGCCGAGCCGAGCCGGACCGTGAGGGGAGGCGCGGCCCCGCGGCGCACAGCAAGTTCCCTGCGGGCCCGGCCCCCCCCCATCCCCACCGGGCAACGGCAACTTTCCGCCGGGGCCACCCCCACCTCTGCACGGCACCTCGGACCGGGGCCGGCCGCCCCCCGCCGCTCAGGGGGGCCTGGTCCTGCCGGGCAGCGCCGCCACCACCCCCTCCCGTGGCCGTGGCCGGGCGCGCCGGCGGCCACCCCGCGGGGAAGGAAGCAGCTGCCCGGCGCGCAGGAAAAGCCGCCCCCGGGTCACAGCGGCAACAAAAGAAAAGTAACCGGGAGCGGCGCCGGGGCGGCCGGTCTCGCCACCCGGGGAGGGCTGCCCCCGCCCCCCCGCGCCCACCCCCCGCCGGACCCGCCGACAACTCCGCCCGCCCCGCGGGGCCGCACCGGCCCCGGCCCCGGCCCCGTCCCGGCGGGTGTGTGGGGATGGGGACTGCGGGACTCACACTCCCCGGCGGCCCGAAGTCCCCGCGCTCCCGCCGCCGCCCGCCGCCTCCTCTTCGCTCACTTGCCGCTCCGGGATCGCGTCTCACCCCCCTCCCGCCCTCCCCCCGCCCGCCCCCCGCGCCCGCTTGCCGCCGCCCCCCGGCCTCCCCCCTGCCGGCAGCTGAGGAGCGAGCGGGGCAGCCGGCGGAGCTAAGCGGGCCCCGAGCTCAGCGGTTCCCCATGGCACCTACGGCCGGAGACGGCGCAGAGCCCGGGGCCGGGCGGGAGGGGGGAGGGGCGGGGGCCGAGGGGAGAGCGGGCGGGCGGGGGCGCCGGGCGCACGCAGCACGGGCGGGCGCACGCACGGCGGCGGCGGCGGCACAGCCGGGCCCGGGCTGCGGCAGACAGATGTTCACCCCCTCCCCGCTCCCCACTTCGGACTCCGCTCCCTGACTGACAGCCCGGCCCGCCCGCGCCGCCGCCACCGCCAACCGGAGCGGAGCCCCGCCGATGAGTGACGGGCAACGGCTGGCGCTGAGTGGAGGAGGCCGGCCTGGGAAGACCAATCGCAGCGCGCGGCGAGGCAAGGGGGCGTGACCCAGTGGGGGGGCAGAGACGGAAGGGGGCGGGGCCCCGGCGAGCCCGGGGAAGGGGCGGGGCCGAGGGTGGGGCGAATGGAGAGGGCGGGCCCGGAGGGGGCGGAGCTTTGCTGCCGAGGGCGCGCGAGGGTTGGGGCCTCGCGCCGGTTGCCGGAGGGTGGCGGGGGGGGTGGGGGGGGGAAGGGAGTTGGCGCAGTGCATGGTGGGACGGCGGAGGGTGGCGGGCGGCAGGTGCGGCGGCGGGCGGGCGGGCGGGTGGGGCTGTGCTGTCCTGGGTGTGGGGCCTCAAGCCTTTGGTGTGCCCCTGCTCCCATGCCTGGCCGTGCCGGTAGTGGGGCCAGCTGTGCCGGGACAGGCTGTGAGAGGTGCAGTAGTGTGTGACTGTGTCCGGCCTGGCTGGGGCAGCCGGCCTGCCCACCCTTGGGAAACTGCCGAGCCGCGTCCTGCCACACGCCCGGGCAGCTGGCAATTGCTGCGCTACCTCCGGCAGTTTGGGATGGGGAGTGTGAATTAAATGGCTGAGACCAGGCATTCATTAGGAGTCAAGAACATCATTAGCGTATAATAGCTGTGTTGCTATCTCAAGACCTAAGATCCATCACCTGCCCCTACTAAGAGGAGCAAGTGATGGACTAAGGTAAAGCAACAAAATTCACTGAGGGATCTGTATCTAGGAGAAACACAAGTTGCTGATGCCTGATAACTTTGCAGAAGTTGACAGCAGAAACATCTGGATTAACAGATAAGCCACCAGAATACTGATAGATGCTGCTGTTGTAAGATACATAAACCCATTGTTGCTTTGCCCTGCCACAGTTACGATTGGGCAATTGGAAATGCACATTAGGAGGTAGGTGGGTGATTTATATCATACCTTTGTACAAAACCCCTGAAGAAAAATCCCTGGGGTGCGCTCAGTTTGGCTGGGGCACCTCATGCACGGTGAATAAATTCACCTTTGTGATCTTGTAGTTAGTGTCGTAGCTTCTTTCCCTGGTTGGCGCAAGCCAGTTGTGAATTTGTAACAGGAGTGTGATGAGAGCGTGCTCTGGCTTCTCTTAATGAATTGCCCTGCCCCGGGTTAGAGTTTCCAGGCCTAGTATTGCGTTTCTTTGTGCTTCCCGCAGCAGCCAGGCAGGTTACCGGGAGCAGTGCCAGGAGACCAGCAACCTTTGGGATGTAAGTGCCCAGGCCTGCCCGCTCCTGGGTGGCGGTGGGAAGGGCAGCACCTGAGCATACAAAGAGCTCTCCAGACCTCATGGTTGTTCACAGATTTGAGGTCAGCACCTCTAGAGAATGTCACGGCTTAGTGATGGGTCAGGGTGGGGCAGTGGGAGCTGGGCCTGAAAAGCTAAGGTCTTCCTCAGGAAAAGACTAATCCAAGGAGTTGGGTGTTTCCCCATCTCCCCTTCAGTTCCAGGTGAACAGTCAACAAAGAGAAGTGTCTTGAAGGACAGTTCTCACCAGCAGAGACTCAGGAGTTTAAGGAGCTCAGTTATGTTTTAATAACTGAGTAGACATAAAAGCTGAAGGCACATACTTATTCTCCTTCAGCAATATGAAACCGTTATAAAGAAACATACTGAATTCTAGTTGTGCCGAATTTATCTGAGAGCACTGCTATGTATATCACACAGCAGCTAGCATCTAGCTATAGGTGTCCATATGCTTCAAGCATTACATACATATATATACAAAAATACATATATACAAAAGAAACCACTTTCTCTCCATCCTTTGGTAAACTGATTGTTCATACAGACCTGCTGTGGGATCTTTTAATTATTAACCTCAAAGTATTTCAGTACTTCTTTGATACTGATACAATTCCATCTGTAAGTTGCATTTTTTCCTTTTTTTTTTTTCCCATTGGCATCATGTTCCATATTCCATTACACCTGGAACACGATGGGGTTTTGTCCTTGTCTTCAAGACAGAGCAGCTAAGATGCTGACTCCTCATATTTCCTGTCTCCTCAGTGCTAATAATCACTTCATCTGAGAAAAATCAGTACCCTCTTCCCTGCTGCCCATCACTTCTTGAGTATCTTCTGTATAACTGCTAAACTGCTTTTTCTTTCAATTGCAAAAATGAATGTTGAAAGCATTTTGATATGAAATACTGTTGAAAATAGTTCTGAAGTTTGGTTTTTTTAATTTAAAATGTACAAATGACTTATGCAGTTATATATATATTTGAACTGCCAGTGAATGTGCCTTCATATATTACATTAACTGTGTTGTCCTAGATCTCTAAACTGCATCCTGCCTCATGCTTCCTAGTATAAGCCATCTCACCAACTGCTCGGGGTCGGTTACTAAGACCTCAGTTTGTCAATACTTACTTATACAAGTGCAGCTTTACCGAGGGAGGCAGTTTAGTCATTCCCATGATACAAAACTCTGTGAAAAATGAAGCTGCTTAATGTGGAATAATGCAAAGAATTTATTTGCTACAGAAGACATGTAGCAAGTGGACTTTCTCAGTACCCTATAGACTTTTACAGGACCTGGAATTTTAAAATAATCTTAAAATAAAATTTCATGGGGCATTACTGTATGTTCTGTTCACTTATTATTTCCCCCTCATGCACATACACTTTTCCTCATAAGATACACTGAGAATAATCTTACAGCCCCTCACCTAGTCTTTACAGGGCTGTGACTGCTATTTAGATCAGGTTGTATCTTCTTTTCCATACTATCATTTGACTATATGACCTTGGCCAAATCACTTAGTTCTTTTTGCCTCTTCAGACTGGTTTGCCCTCAGAGATACAGATTATTTCTTATTACAGTTATATTTAAGAGAGTGATCTACAATTACAGTTTATACAGCTATTACAATAAAACATATTTTTTTTACTACTTCTAAATAGGAGATGGAGTGAAACAGAAAAAAAGTGAGTGTAGGTAACGCTTTAAGATTAAAAATCTTTTTTGGCAGTGAGTCTGACTTCATTG